TCACCTACGAATTTTAATTTTAAAATTCACAGGTGAAACAGTTTGAAAAATCCTGCTAATTTTAAAATTAAAATTCGTAGGTGAAAATGGTCTTTAACTAAAGGTATCTTAACTCTAATTGCAAAGAATATATATATATATATATATATATATATTAAGCATTTCATCCCAAGCAAGCAAGCAAGGTGGGAGTGCCACTAGCCCGCAAGGGGTTACAGAGAGTGAGAGTAAGAGTAAAGAGGGGGGGGTTGAGGAAAGGATATAGAGAAGGACGTTGATCGGGATCAAGGCATCAGAAGATGTCGACTGACTTTACATTTGAATATTAGAAGATTATAGCTACCAGGGAAGCAAGTAATACTCCCACTGTCAAGAGGTGCGAGAGAAGAAGCTGTTGGAGTAGAAGAGGCGGTTACATTTAACCGTTTCGACAGTGAAAGGGTGGGACCAAGATGCCAACCTAGTAGCACGCTTACATTCACACAGTTGGGATACCAGTGGAAGCAGTTGGCATGAAAATATTTGTAGAAAAGACAGGGGGAAACCACATCACGTATGCCAAGTCAGGACCTATCACATTGCATATCCTTCTCTGGATTTTGTCGAGAACCTCAAGATAAACAGGAGGAGGACCAGACCATATATGGCAACAGTATTCAATTGGAATGGGTTGGATAAAAAAAATCCCCATATACTCACAAATACTTGCACGTATGTATAAATATATTTCCTCTTCAGCTGTTATAAAAATAAATGCAATGATTCAAACATCTCGATAACACACTAAAATATACACATAATGCAGACACTCAATTAAGCTGGAAAATCGAATCATCCTTGATAATGGCTAAAGGTATAGCCAAAAGCGCTCGGAACTATAAAACATTCGGACAGTTCTTACACACCCTTTGTCCAGAAAAGAAAGCTCTTGTTCGAACACAAGAAAAAGTAAATAAAAAGCTTAATCGTAGTACCTTGCCTGTCGTTTTTAATGAAACACACATTTTATATATACATATATATATGTGTGTGTGTGTGTGTGTGTTTGTGTAATCCACAGACAGACTGTTTCGCTGTATCACAGCTCATCAGTGTGGCTAGACATCCGATTGCCTCAAGCCAGGAAACATCAGTCGGAGATTTTTCCCCTGAGCTATCAGCTCCCGGCAGAGAAGAAGGTGATTTTTTACGTATTTATTTTAGAATAAACAGGCCAGTGAATCAGAGTACTCAATTTATAGAAGAGTTTTTGCATCAGCAGTAGCCAGTCACAGTTTACAAATTCGCGCTTTTCCCTCTCGAAAGTGCTCGGCCGAATTTTTTTTTTTTCGAGAGCGTATATATGCGCCATCCACAGACATACTATTTTACAGACAGACTTTTTAGCTGTATCACAGCGCATCAGTGTGGTTAGACATCCGATTGCCTCAAGCCAGGATCGAAACCCAACCGATTTGGCATCAGTCGGAGATTTTTCCCCTGAGCTATCAACTCCCTGTAGAGAGGAAGGTGAATTTTTACGTATTTATTTTAGAATAAACACGCCAGTGACTCGGAGTGATCAAATGTGTGTGTGTGTGTGTGTGTGTGTGTGTAATACAGTATAATAAATGATATGTAGTGTAAAGTAGAATAAAGGACAATAGAATAAAAGATATATATATATACATAGATTAAAGTAGGCTAAAAGACATGTAGAATAAAGTAGGATAATTAACGAGTAAAATAAATTAGAATAAATGCCGTGTAAAAAGTAGAATAAATGACATGTAGAATAGTCGTTTGTAACACCCTATTTATCATCTCTCAGTTGCGTCTCTGTCTTTGGGCAGAGTGCGCTCGTGGGCGGCTCCGTCGAGGGAGAGAATCGCAAGTGGGGAAAATTATACTGAGACGTGCTGGCCCTGGGGAAGAGCTGCCCGAAGCCGCGCCCTTGGATTGCACTTGAGAAAAAGGGATCGGTGCTCACACTGATGCCATCGAAAGCGACGGTTGCGTGGCTTCGGGCAATTTTTGTTCCTTGCCCGGGTGTACATTCTCGGGCTCCCCACATTAAACCGACCTTGTGTCACAACCTGACCTCGTGGGGAGTTGAATAAATACAAATAACGGAGCATAAATGACAAGTAATATAAATGAGAAGTAGAATAAAATACAATAAATGACATATAATGAAATAAATCAAATTCAATAAATAGCAGAATACAGTAGAATAAGTGTTATGTATCATAGAGTAGTATGAAAGATGAGTAGAATAAAATAATTGCGGGTTTAATGCTAATGGATACACCGATTTAAAATATTCCTTTTATTTTAATTCGTTTTATTCTGCTTAATAGCGAATGGTTATTCGGAATACTAACCGACATTAAGAGCAAGGAACACAAATTATAGTACAAAATTCACATCCGGCTACAGATTACCTGTTACCCAATCGGGGGCTATTTTTGACCTGTAGACGACCTTCATCTTAGATAGATAGATAGATAGATAGATAGATAGCTAGATAGATAGATAGATAGATAGATAGATAGATAGATAGATTGTCATCAGTGATGCAATGACTTCCTTTAACAAATCCCTTGTTGCACGGACAGCGAACACAGGATCAAAGACCTCTGCTCTTGGCGACTGAAATTCCTTGTATTTACGCACGGAAAAATACTTGTCATACGTTAGATAAGTCTTAAAATGTCCCATGAAGAAGAGTTCCTAAATCCATTTGATTTCGCTTTAATAACATTTCATGACAACTTCCCTTGAGGAATTTTTAGCAACTTGTCTGCGTCTCAGCAAATAACGAAGCGAAGCTCACAAGGATTTACTTTGAGACTTTGTCATCTTTCCATTTATTTCATCTCTTCAGTGTTGCGAACACAAATCTTCACGTTGATATAAAAGAATTTGAGGAATGCGTTCGATTATCAGCCAATCGAATAGAACCAAAAACAAAAGCGCACATCTATCTATCTATCTATCTATCTATCTATCTATCTATCTATCTATCTATCTATCTCAGTCTGTTCATATCTATCTATCTATCTATCTATCTATCTATCTATCTATCTATCTGTCTATTTATCAAGATAGATAGTAACAGGCTGAGATAGATAGATAGATAGATAGATAGATAGATAGATAGATAGATAGATAGATAGAAACAGACTGAGATAGATAGATCTATCTCCTGAGATTGGGATAGATAGATAGATAGATAGATAGATAGATAGCACTACTTTCTCTCTCTCTCTCTCGCTTATTCCCTCACTATTTGTCTCTTTCTCTCTATCTCTCGCTCAGTACCTCTCTTTGTCTATCTATTTATCAAGATAGATAGTAACAGGCTGAGATAGATAGATAGATAGATAGATAGATAGATAGATATGAAGAGACTGAGATAGATAGATAGATAGATAGATAGATAGATAGATAGATAGATAGCACTACTTTCTCTCTCTCTCTCTCTCTTATTCCTTCACTATTTGTCTCTTTCTCTCTATCTCTCGCTCAGTACCTCTCTTTGTCTCTCTTTCGCTCGCTCCCTCTGTCTCACACACTCTCTCTCTCTCTCTCTCTCTCTACCGCTTCCTCACTCCCACTCTCTTTGTCTCACTCCCTCTCTCTTTGTCTATTGCTCGCTAACCCCCTCTCTTTGTCTCACACTCACTAGCCACACCCTCTCTCGCTCATTCTCTCACTCCATCGCTCTAGCTCACTCCCACTTTCTTTGCATCGTTCTCACTCACTCCCTCTCATTGTATCTTTCTCCCCATCGCTCTTTTTTTGTCTCTCCTTTGCTCGCTTACTCAATATCCCTGTCCATCTCTCCCTCCCTCCCTCTCGTCATCCCTCTCTCTCTCTCTCTCCCTCTCTCTCTCTCTCTCTCTCTCTCTCTCTCTCTCTCTCTCTCATACACACACAATCTGTGTCTCTCTTTTTTTTCTTTTTTTTTTTTTCATAAATAATTTCATGATAATTTTTCGGATGAGCTCTTCGTTAACTAGCGACGTGGTCTCACTGTTGAGCCGGCTAAATGTAAATTCTAAACTACTAGTTTATTTTCTCGCCCTTCTCGCTTTTGGAACTCCCTTCCGGCTCCATGCTTCCACACCCAGTAACCGCTTGCTTCTCGGTGGTTTTACTGCTTTGCTTGGGGTGAGGTCGATTAAACAAAATAACACACAGTCTTTCTATTTCATAATAACCTGACTGAATTCTGGGCTGGAATAGATTATTCTTATTAATTATCAATAATGGACATTTCCCTTTAGAGCCGTGTTCAGATCTCGTACTTTATACCACAGCAATGAATACACACACACACGCGCGCGCGCGCGCAAACGTACGCCCAATTGCAAAAAAAATATGGAATCTCTTAGCATAAAAAAGAAACCAGCCCTTAATAACATCAATTACGAACACGGCCACAATGTAGTGACCGTATTCGGAAGTATATGTATATTATTCCTTAATTATATCAATTAGTATCACTTGTAAACTATTTACTGTAGTAGAATAACAAAAGTCCTTGAAGAATGGCTAATACTGCTCGGAATCATTTATTTATTTAAGTTTGTTTTTTTTTCAATTTAATCCAGAAAGAGAACACTTGTACGCAAACAAGAAAAATAATTTTAAAAAGTAGCTTGTCAATCTTGTTCACTTAAACATGTATTAAAGATACGCAATTATATATATATATATATATATATATATATATATATATATATATATATATATATGTATGTACGAATACAAGAAAAATGAAATAAAAGATTAATCGCAGTATCTTGTCAATCGTCATTAACTAAACGTATATATATATATATATATATATATATATATATATATATATATATATATATATTTTTTTTAGCATTTTACCTCAAGCAAGGCAAGTGCCACTAGCATGCAAGGGGTTACAGAGAGTGTGAGCAAGAGTAAAGAGGCGTGATAGAGGAAAGGATGAAGAGAAGGATGGTGAATAGATCAATTCATCTGGAGATGTCGATTGACATTGTATTTGATGATTTGGTGATTGTAGCTATCAGAGAAGCAAATAAAACGAAGGCAGTTCCACAGACAGGAAGTGCGAGACATGAAGCTATTAGAGTAGAAGAGACGGCCACATTTAACCGTTTCGACAGTGAAAGGGTGGGACTGAGATGCCAACCTAGTAGCAAGTTTAAATTCATGCAGTTTGAGAACCAAGGGAAGTAACTCGTCAGAGCAATTATCATGTAAATATTTGTAGAAATGACAAAAGGGAGGTGACGTCACATTTGTGAGAGAGCGGCTGCAAATGTGATGCCAGGCCAGGGCCAATTAAAATGCACATCCGTCTCTGGATTTTGTCGAAGACCTTAAGACAAACACCGGTGGTTCCAGATCATATATGGCAGCAGTATTCCATGCAAGGGTGAATGCTTGATTTATAGGCTTGAAGGATGCATTTAGGCAAGGAAAACCTTCTGACGCAATAGAGAGAACCAACTTTTCTTACGGTAGATACTTACCTCCAAAGATTATGTAAAATATGAGAATACGTCATGAAAAAAAATGCCCCAAGCTTCATAACAACAAAGTTTTATCGTCAAAATCTTTTTGTGCTAAAGAATTTATTATGTAATAATTATTATGTATTATATATATATATATATATATATATATATATATATATATATATATATATATATTATCAATATTATATATAATTTGATAATTATAAATTATATATAATTATAATTTTATAATTATATATAATTATAATTATTATAATTAAATTATAATTATTAATATTATTATTACATTATTAATATTTTCATTCATATTATTATTATTAATATTAATATTATTAATATTAATATTATTATTATATTATTATAAATGTTATTATTAATATTATAATTATTAATATTATTAATATTATTATTATTTATTAATATTATTAATATTAATTTATTAATATTAATATTATTATTATATTATTTATACTATTATTAATATTATTATTATTAATATTATTATTATTAATATTATTGTTATATTATTAATATTATTATTAATATTATTAATATTAATATTATCCATATTATTATTATTATATTATTTATATTATTATTAATATTATTAATATTATTATTATTATTATTATTAATATTATTATTATTATTATTAATATTATTAATATTAATATTATTATTATATTAAATTATAATTCTTATAATTATGTATATCAATATTATATTATATATTATTATGTATTATTCTTATGTAATAATTATTTTTTAAACACTGTTTAGAACGTTCGAAATCTTTATTAAAAATCTTGTTTTCCTGGCGTCGAGGCAGATCCACTGATTAAGACCAAAAATAACGTGTTTTTGCAGTGGAAAATACAAGAAATTGGAAATTCTTGCAAAAATCAGATAATTTTTGGAGTGTAATAAAGCGTTCAGGGCTTTTTTAGAAATTAATAAAATCATTTTTCAGATGATTCTTTTTTTAAAAAAATCTTGGTAAAAACTTGATTTATATCTGTTAGTCCAACTCATTTAATTTCAAGAATTTTTGTAGGACTTAATGTTTATTTTAAAAACAAGTTCTCAGAAAATTTAAATTAATATTTTTTTTTTTATCGAACATGACTCTCAGCTACAAAAATTCTCCTCTGAATTATAATATAAAAATGCAATAAAACTAAAACATTATTTAATTAGAAAATCTTTTAATTTCTTTTATGAATAATATCTATTATTGTCTTACAAAAAAGGTCGATAAGTAATATATTTTTACAAGAATTGTTTTCATTTTTTAAAAGTTAATTAGAATAATTTAAACGTTAATTACAATAACTTAAACGTTAATTAGAATAATTTATAAAGTTGTAAATCATTTAAAATGCTGTATTAATTTCAACCGGTCAAGTGATATTGTTATTAAATAAAATCTGTATTTAATAATCATAAATGGAAAAGTTTACTACAATTCAGCGACCACCCTCCTAAAAATTTTTTATTATGCGTGTGTACAAACGTGCTGAATATTGTAAATACGGTCATCTATACACGATATTATTAAGAAATAAGAGCTATATAACTATAGTATATTTTAAATTTATTGGGAATTTTCTAAAATTTTCTCAACAGGGTTGCAAGTCCAAATTGCCTGAAATTCAATAAAATATTAGGATATTTAAAATATTTTACATTTTTCACATTACTGGGTTGTTAAAAATGGATTAAAAAGGAAATCATTTTGTATTCGTCATGTAATTATATTAAAATTATATTCCCTTTACATAAATTTTCTAAACATCAGGCTGTTGGTAAATTTGTCAACATCTCATGCAAACACCTACCACCGTGTTAAAAAAAAGTGAATTGCTGCGATATTTTAAACTAAAAGTAAGTAATATTTGTTTTAACTCCGATTAATTTATCTTTAAATCATTATTTTTTTAAAGCAACGTTTCAGAAACGTTTATCTTATTTTGAAAGATTTAAAAAATAAAGAGAATTATATTGCATTGACAAATTTCTGAATACGGTTGATTTTATCAATTTTACTGATAATCAATAAAATGTAATCAATATAGTATAATCAATATATTATAATAATCAATAATATAATATAATAATATAAGATAATATTATATATAATATAGCTATATAAAATATATAATATATTTATAATATATATATATAATAATAATCAATATATTATAATCAATATAAAATGTAATCAATAAATAAAATCAATAAAAATTAATTTAAATTCAGTTTGAAATGAAGTAGATTTTTAGTGGAAATATTAAATTTAATCTATTAACTTGGAATTAAAACTAAAATAAAAGCTTCAAGAAAGATTTTCCATTTTCAAATGAATTTTAAACTTTAGGTAATCCTTTTTGGTGACATATATATATATATAATTTATTGTATCTTATTATATTTTTATTTTAAATATTTTTTTTTTATTTTCAAATATTATCTATTTATTTTATATTAAATATAACTTATTTTTAAATGTAATTTAATTTATTTTAAATACATATTATATAAATATGACTTAATTTTAATATAACTTATTTAAATATATCTTATTTTTAAATATATCTTGTTTCTAGAATATGACTTTGTACTTTTAAGTATGACTCTAAAATATACTTTTATCTATATATAAGATTTTAACCCCTTTTTATTCCTCTATTAGTTTTAAATTAACATTTCCTTCTGCATATAACCCTAATTTAATATCATGAGGTTAATAATAAGGTTTCACTTTATAAAACCTCTTCTCTTTAAGACAAATACCATCCACCCTCCCCTGACAACTGTCTCGTGCCTTTCGTCTGACTGAAACATTGAAATGGATAAATTCTCTATTAGTTTTTCGACGGATTTCTTTTTTTTTCTTTTTTTTTTTTTTTTAGCTTTCACAATTAAATTTCTATTTTCGACACGAACTCAGTCTATACCGGCGTTGATAAGACTGACTAATTATATTTTCGTCTGTCGAAATAAGCATATTCACCCCATATGAAGTGATTTGGGATTTTATTTTTAATTTTTGCTCTGTAATGATAAATACATTGAGCTCTTTTTGTGGATCAGTTTTAATATTTTATATTACTAGAATCCACTTGCATTATATACCAACGGAATAATTAACTTTACTATATATATATATATATATATATTAAGCGTTTCACCCCAAGCAAGGCGGGAAGCCACTAGGACGCAAGGGGTTACAGAAAATTTGGAGCAAGATCAGATAGGAGTGATAGAAGAAAGGATGAGGAGAAGGGTAGTGGATAGATCAAGGCAACTGGAGATGTCGATTGACATTATATTTGAATAGCTGGAGATTTTAGCTCACAGGGAAACAGGAATAGGGAAGGGAGTTCCACAGGCGAGAGGTGCGAAACATGAAGCTATTGGAGTAGAAGAGACGGCTACATTTAGGAGTTTCGACAGTGAAGGGGTGAGAGCGGGATACCAGCCTTGTAGGGCGCTTGAACTCATGAAGTCTGGGAACCAGCGAATGCAGCTCCTCGGAGCAATTGCCATGAAAGTATTTGTAAAAAAGACAGAGAGAGGCGACGGCGCGTCTGTGAGAAAGTGACTGTAGACGAGATGCCAGAATAGGGCCAATTATATTGCATATCCGCCTCTGGAGCCTATCAAGAACCCCGAGAAAACATACATATACATATATATATATATATATATATATATATATATATATATATATGTATATGGCTATTCATGTATATATATTTAAACGTTTATAGATTTATTTATATGCATGGATGGATGGATGGAGTTAGTGTATAAATGTTTTTAGGAGCTAGGGACACCAAAAAGTGAGGGGAGCCATCACAAATGATGCCAGGACTGAAGAAGAGGATCTCATTTAAGTAAGATGTCACTGATCCTATATACATGTATGCGAGAAAAAAATATATACATTTTTATATGCCAGAATATAATGTAATGAGTCTGACACCAATTTTGATTTTAAAAAAATACTATTTGACTTAAAAGAGGGCATTTTCCTAAGATAAAAGTGTATAGAAAGTGCTTTAGTTGCCAGATCATCTCTCCTAAGATTGCGCCCATGTTCTTAAAATATTCCACCTTTCTTTACACATCATCTATTATCACAATGTGAAAGACTTAATAATAAAAGTGATAAAATAAAAAAGAAAAAAAAATGAAATTAGCTCAACGATATAAACAAACGTGTCAAAAATTGTTTAAATTTAAAAAATTATTTTTTTATTTTTAAATTTCGGTGTTCTCTCACCTTCGCATCAGCATAAAAATCTTTCATTCGATGGAGTACGAAATGACAAAACGCATTATACGAACAACTTTTAAAACTTTGTCATTAATTTTCTTTATATATATATATATATAACATTGTGTGTGTGTGAGAGAGAGAGAGAGTATATAAAATAGATTAAGCTGATAAATCGGATTGAATTACTTTTGATGGCAAAAATTTAAAAAATACGTAACAAACACGAATAGTGTGAAATGAAAGAGATAGATAGATAGATAGATAGATAGATAGATAGATAGATAGATAGATTGATTGATTTAAAAAGATTAAGATAGATAGATAGATAGATAGATAGATAGATAGATAGATAGATAGATAGATAGATAGAAACAGACTGAGATAGATATATAGGAACAGACTGAAATCGACAGATAGATAAGAACAGACTGAGATAGATAGATAGATAGATAGATAGATAGATAGATAGATTGATTTAAAAAGACTAAGATAGATAGATAGATAGATAGATAGATAGATAGATAGATAGATAGATAGATAGATAGATAGAAACAGACTGAGATAGATATATAGGAACAGACTGAAATCGAGAGATACATAAGAACAGACTGAAATAGATAGATAGATAGATAGATAAATAGATAGATAGATAGATAGATAGATAGATAGATATATAGATAGATAGATAGATAGATAGATGCCTATAAACACCTTCGTATATATATATATATATATATATATATATATATATACGCGTGCATGTGTATGCGTGCACCGAACGCATCATCTCGAGTCATTCAGTTCTCATCTCTGGCAAATCACTTAACTTTACCTAGACACTTGCACGAGCAACATAGCTTACATGCCTGACCCAAGACGTCAGCCACGCCCTACCAACTTCCATGCCGCCCACCCCGACCTTGTCACACTTGCATACTGATGCGATGCTGCACTGCACGAACTGCTGCACTGTTTTGCACAGAAGTCAAATCTGCATTTCCACTATCCCCACCCTTACCCGGACCCGGTCTCTCCCTTCGTAAATGCAGAAGCTGCAAAAATGTCGGGCGGAGAAAAAGTCTTTCTCTTCTGACATTTCCCGCGCATGCGCTGATGATCTTTTCGCTTCTTCAAAGTTGTTGTTTTGTTTATTTATCTATTCGTTTATTTATTTGATCCTTGGTTGTTTATCGTGAGATCAAGGGTCACCCGTTTATGCCCGGTCTATCCACATTTGGCGAATATTACTCTTCACGGGTGGATTTTGCCTAATTCAATGTTGATAATCAATTAAAACGTAGGAGACTTTGAAAGAAATCTATCGATTATGTTTGATTTCATGGTAATGTTGATATTAGCCATTTCCTTATAACGAAACCTTCGGTATTCATTGACCGAGCAGCCAGTGTTACTTGAGTTACACCTTTTTTCACTCCCTGGCCATCGAGCTTATATAAAAATGTATTATCTTTTCTCTATACTTACCTGACACATCAAAATATTAACCCCAAGCCCCAAGAGTCCTTCCCCTAGGCAGTACCTCACCTTCGAGATAGGTTTATTGTCCGGCGGCTGAGGCGTCCCCAAATGTCGAGGGAGCTTGCGAAATTTTTCCACGGTAGTGTCGTTAAAACCACTTAAAACTTCGACTTTGTGTCAAATTCGGTAGCGACGTGGGCCCGCTGAAAAATAAACGCTTCTCCATATTTTGGCTGAGATCAAAGTGTAGTATCTGTTCTTATCAACTTCATCTGATTCTCTCTCCACTTTTATCTTCCGTTTTTCATGGCGAGTTCTACGGCAATAAAATATCCGTAAAAATTCCCCATGTCGCATCGTTAAATATTTGAGCTTAACAACTTTAACAAAATATTTGAACTTAACAATCATAAATATGAATGCTGGTCGTTATTTTAAGAAGTAAGCAGGTACAAATGAAAAGATTTGATATTGACAACTTTTTCCATTTCACTGAAGCAGACGTTAAACACTTTTATCTACCCTTCTTTCTTTCTTTTTTTTTTCTTTCTTACATTTTCTCACAGAAATCAGTTACTGCCTCTGTCCCTCCTTCTAGGCGATCAAAACAGAATAGTCTCTTATTTATGAGGCAGGAAACGTTAAATGATAGATGAATTAATATGAGCAGGAATAGATAGATAGATAGATAGATAGATAGATAGATAGATAGATAGATATGAACAAGCAATGATAGACGAATAAATATGAGCAGATAGATAGATAGATAGATAGATAGATAGATAGATATGACCCAGGAATGATAGATAGATAGATAGATAGATAGATAGATAGATAGATAGATAGATAGATAGATAGAAAAAAAATATTTACTAATTTTAACCCATGAAAATTTCACGATGTTTTCATTTTCTCATGAATCTTAATTCTTAATTTAATGATTGATTAAACTTATGGCGAGTTCTAAGGTAATAAAATATCCGTAGAAATTCCCCATGTCGCATCGTTAAATATTTGAACTTAACAACTTTAACAAAATATTTCAATAACAATCATAAATATGAATATTGGTCGTTATTTTAAGAACTGCGTTGAAATTAAAAGATTTTAAATTGATAACTTTTTCCTTTCACTGAAACAGACGTTAAATTCTTTTATCTTCCCTTCCATCTTTCATTTACTCACTGAAATCAAGTAGTACCTTTCTCCTCTCTCTACAAGATCAAAGCGGAATAGACCATTATTTATGAGGTATTTGCAGAAGAATTTAAACATTTTTGTCTTCCTTTATTTCTTTCTTTGTTTCTAGCCAAATCCACGTCTGGCAAACATTTCTCTTCATAATAATTTAAAAATTCAGCAGATGATATTTTTTTTTATTTAATTTAAGGTAATGGGATTTTTGGCGATTGTTTACTCGGTTTTTCTCGTTCGATATTATGCATCTGAAAAATGGTGCTTTATCGCGGTCACCACCGCTTCTCAGCCTTTTGGCTTAGGGAGATTCAAGTAATTTTAAGCACAAGACCCAAGGAAACTTTCCCTCCAGACAGTACCTCTACTTCGAGATAGGGATGGGTTTATTGCCCAGCGCCTAAGGCGTCCGCAAAAGGGGAAGTGCCGACGAGGTATGTGCAATTTTAACACGGTATTGTCAGTGAACCCACTTTAAACCTCGGCCTTGTGTCACATTCGGTAACAACGTGGGCGCGCTGAAAGATAAAAAGAATATTCAATATTCATTGACCGAGTGGCCACTACTAATATCAATTGAATTTCATAGAATCTTTCTCTTAAAACAATTTTTCAGGAAAATAGCTTTCGCAAGTCAAGTAGCTTTTATCGCTTTTTCCAGGATTGATAGGGGTTTCCTTCCTAACCTTTTATTTGAAGAGGTGCTGAATATCAACATTTTGATTGTATCACTACTTTCTTTTCGTGTTACATGTGGTATCTATTTTAGTTTTTGCTGTTGCCGAAAATCCTCAAGGGATCTGGTTTATGTCATTTGCTACACTTCTTTCTTTGTGATTCTGTAGCGCCAGTTCAGAAAGTTAGAAAATAAAGCCCACAGGCTTCAGTCGCTCAAAACCATGTTTAATAGTATTGGTAATATTAGCCGTTTCCTTATAAGGAAATAATCAACCTTCACTGACCGATCAGCCAATGTTAATATCCGTTGAAATTTATCAAACTGTCAATTTTTCTTTAAAATAAGGTTTTTATCGCTCTTTCCAGTACTGTTGGGGGTTTCCTTCCTAAGCTTTTGTTTAAAGTAGTGTGGAATGTCTACATCTTTATTATTTTCTCTTCCAGTTACATGTGATAGTCTTCTCTAAAATCCACAGGATCCATTTGCTCGAAGCCATTTTAATCAATGATCCGAGAAAGTGGTTGTATACCTTTAAAAGTTTATTATAGTTATTTCTGGACGTGTTTATCGATATGAATGCCATCTATATGACATTCTTAATCTAAAAACACGACTCGAGTTTATAGGTTATTTTTTTGGTTTTGTAGCAATATGCAGTATTGTGGGAAACTACTTCTAGCGCAGTCTGTTCTATGTTTAATGTCCTTATTCCCTATATTAAATTGAACCGTCTCTTTCAGAACTGTAATATCAATGTTCAGGATTATTTTTTTTATCTCGCCACTTATATAATTTAATTGTATTTAATCAGCTACTACCTTCACGATTTGAACTTGTAAACCCGATATTTACAGTTGGGCGTTAATTTCTATCCACCGTAGATCGATGTTTCTTATTATGGAAGATCAGGTCTTTTACTCGTTCTGTGTGTGTTGTGTCCTTTTAAGACGTAGGCAATCATGACACTTCGCTTTTTTTCTTCTGTTCTCTTCCTCTCAGCAGTAATCTCCTTATGGCCTATCTTTCATTTCCTTCATTCATTCAGTTAATCATTTTGCCAAGATTTAACCCTTAACTTCACAACTACAAAAGTGAAGGCTTTCATCGATTTAAAATACCCATTATAAAACCTAATTAATAAAGTCAACTGAATCTATTCTTCTGGGACAATTTACTTTAAAGAATTACTCTTATTACTGTATCTTACATATAAGAGGAACTTTGAAAATCGCCCTGTGTTTTCTATGAGAGAATTAGGCTTCTTGTACGCTAATATTACCTCCAACGCTCACCATCGTAGGATATAATTTCACCTCAGAATTGTCACTTCTATCAAGACCGACTCCATGATAATATTATTTACCCAACGTACAGGGCGTCATGGGTAAGACGTTAAACTACATCCGCGTCCAGGGTAAGACGATAAACTACGTGAATTGCGTCATAGTGCTCTTTTACTCACAGATGGTGGTCAAGTAACCCTACTATGCTGTGCAGTCGACGAAATCAAAAACAAACAACGCGCATGCGCGAAATTAAAAATATAAAATGGCGACAATTTAACCATTACACCCTGTATATTAATCGTCGTTCACCCAAAGAAAAAATGGTATTGAGATTCCTGGGGAATTAATACTTAGGATGGGCTGTTATGGTAATTTACCCAAGCACGCATGGACTCTTCCAGCTATAAATAGGAGCAGGTACTTCTTTTTGGGGAGGGGAATTTCCAGCAGTCAGCTCCGACAGTCGGACGGAAGATTCTTGAACCAAATCAGAAAACGCCTGTCGAACGATGCTGAAAGCAGTCCTCCTGAAGAAAAAGAAGTCAGGTATGTCATTTACGATACTTTTGATATGCCAATACCTCAAGCGGCTCCGGAGCAATGCCATTTAAAGAGGAAAAGGATGATGACCGACTTAATCGTCGTTAACCCAAAGAAGGAAAAGTATTGAGATTCCTGCGGAATTAATACTTAGGAGGGGGTGTGATGGTAATTTACCCAAGCATGCATGGACACTTCCAGCTATAAATAGGAGCAGGTACTGCCTTTTTGGAGAGGGAAGTTTCCAGTAGTCAGCTCTGACAGTCTGACGGAAGATTCTTGCTGTAACACTCACGTTTGTATATGTTTGTATTACTGTTTCTCTTAATATATTTGTTTAATTCAATTCCTCTATTGTGTCTTTGTTGCTGGCCCTAACAAGGCCACAACAGTAAAAGTGTTAAATAAATTAAGAATAAAAAACATTAATTTCTTTCATTGCAATCAAATGTACGCAATGAAGAAGAGGAAAGAGCCATGAGAAAATATAATCGATAATTACATAAAATCCACAGATAATGATAATCATCGCCTATCACCCGGTTCACGCACCTCCTCGCTCTTTTGAACATTGCTAAAAGTTTAACCTTTGTATCCTGTTTAGGATTAGGTTTCAGTGTTTTTCTAAAGTCTACTTCAATTCTATACTACTAACGTCGCCGCCTGAATTTTGAAATTTTATTTGCTAATTATGTTTTTCTCCGCCATAGGTAAAGATAGGTTCGACTATCGCCCGGTTCACACTCCTTCCCTGTTTTTTGAACAAGAATAGAGATGTATCCATTATTCCTGTTTTAGGATTAGATTTCCGGTTCCTTCTAAAGTCTTTTCATTTTCTTTCACCTACAGTAGACCCTAGCGTCGTAGTGGCATTGTTGCCTTGTTTGGGGTGAATTAATTTAAAAAAATATACGATTCATTATCTATTCGGTCAGTTATGTGCTATGTGTGATACCTGACTGACGAGGCAGATTTCTTTTCTCGCAGTAGGTTGCCATTACTTTCTGAGGTAGGCAGTTGCCAACCAAGGCTATAGAACCTAGTCTGTCCTGCTATTTACCCATAGTTGGGGGGGAGAAGACGATTCAAATCTTTTCCAATGGTATTAGCACGTAAATGAATGTAATGAATTTACTGGAATTTGTATTCGGCACTCCGATTCCTCAATCCGAGCCACAATCCCCTCCACTGTGCCTCCTCAAAACATCAGTTCAGTCAGTTATGTGCCATTCGTGATACACGCTTAGTCGATCACATGACGAGGCAGATTTTTACCTGCAGTAGGTTGCCATTTCTTTCTAGAGTAGACCAGTTGCCCTCCAAGGCTATAAAACCCGACCTTTCCTGCTATTTATCCATAGCTGGGGGGAGAAAAGGAGGATCCAAACTTTTCCCGAGGGTATTAGCACGTAAGTGAATGTAATGAACTCGACTGGAATTCGAACTCTGCTCTCCGATTCCTCAATCCAAGCCGCTATCCATTACTCCACCGTGCCTCTCCAAAATATTTCAGTCAGTTAATTTCAGTCAGTTATGTGCCATGCGTGATACACGCTTAGGCGATCACGTATTTTTCGATACATGACTGACGAGGCAGATTTTTTCCCGCAGTAAGTTAACATTTCTTTCTGAGGTAGGCTAGTTGGTAGCCAAGGCTATAAAACCCAGTCTGTCCTGCTATTTACCCATAGCTGGGGGAGAAGAGGATTTAAACGTCTTAACTTCGTGATTATAAATAAAAACATCCTCGATCTAAGATCAATGTTGTTTAGAATGTCAGTTCTATCGAAGTTTCCACTTTTATTTATTCATTTTGCCCCTAGCAAAGCAGTAAAAGCCCTAAATACGTAAGATGTTTCCGATTGTGAAAGAATATAGGAATTTTAATTTAATTTTTTTTAAGTTCAAAACTGAGCAGAAATCAAGCCAGTTCCACAGGCGAGAAGTGTGAGAGAAGAGACTGTTAGCATAGAACTTACATCTAGCCGGTTACAGGTTTAACAGTAAAATGATGAGACCTAACTTCCAATCTAGTACTGCGCTTAAATTCGTAAATTCGAGTTACCAAAAAGGAAAGCAATATTCATTTTGTTAAAACAAAAAAATTGGCACAAGGCCAAAAAGGAGGAGGGAAAGGATGGTCTTCAGTCTGTCTTATCTTAAACTTAGCTAGCCACAATTACTGACCCAAACATACCACAATATTCAACATATTCATACTTACCATCCTTATACTTACCATAATACCTCCAAGTCTCTATGAAGTTCTAACTAGTTCCTACATGCACAACTTTCCCCAAAGAGGAAATCTCATCAGAACAATTACAATGAAAATATTACAGAACAGATACAGAAAAGTTGCATTATGGCAGTGGGAAAATGAATGAAACTTTGAAAAAATAAAAATAAATATTATGTTCATAGGATATACAATCATAACACTTTCTTGTAGATTGACTTGTGATAATTCCGATTAAATTACTATAAGCCAACAGATGACACGGAAAGAATTACAAAGACAGCTCTTTGTAAATCATTCATTATGCCTCTTAATTCCTTGGGAACATAGGGTCAAAACAACACCTCTCGCATTTCTGAACGATCCTCTTCATCTCGGCCCATGTGGTTCCGCCTGCCTTCCCGGGGCATTTTCACCAGAACGTGTCATACGGTCCACTTTTTAGAAATCTTCCTCGGCCATGTCGTTGTTTGAAGATATCGCTGAGGTTTCTGTAACAAGCTCGTTTTAAGTGAGTAGGTTGTTAGCCTACTGCACAACCCCCAACCTGGAGAACCAGGGTGTTTCTTTCATCTGGCTCCTACCCCAGAGACCTGTTAAGGTTGGTTGGGCCTGCTAAGAGCCGAAGCCCCCGCCCAAATAGCTCCTGGGGTCGTTGAAGCACGCAAGCCATCCTACCACGTCAAGGCGACACACCATCAGGACAGGCTTTTGTAAATAATGCAATAATACTCAATAAAACAAACTGTAAAAAAAACTAAGAATCTAAGTTATTCATATTAAGTCAAAACAATTAACAATTAAGGAAATCAGTAAAATTTATTTAAATTCTCAGAATTCACTCGACGCAACACCCAAAAATCTAAACTGTCGCCAAAACTTTGAATTATTTTTTGACATTGACTGAAGCTAGTCGAAGGTTCAAACCTTAACAAGAAAAATATAGACAATGCAAAAATTACATTTTATGCAATTAAGTCAAGCGTTCATTGGACCAGCCACAACTATCAGTTTAGTACACGCTATTGCACAAAGTCATCAGACCAACAACTAGATAACTTATATTATACAGGGTGTCCATAAAGTTCGGGTGCACTTTAAAAAATGTATAACTTTATTTGTATTTGCGATAGAAATAATCTGTAAAAAAATGTTATAAAGATTAATGTACCTAGTTTTAAGTATAGCTAAACTAACTAATGTGATTTTCAGGCATTGCTGTAAATCTGTTGGCAAATGTTTTCCGTGAACTGCAAAATCGTATTACGCTTTGTATTGCTAATGATGGAGGACATGTGGAAACTACATGTGAAAATTTCAATAAAACCTTACAAAATATAGATTTACTTCTTTCTAATTCTTTTTATAAATTACTTCTATCGCAAATACAAATAAAGTTATAATTTTTTAAAGTGCGCACGAACTTTATGGACACCCTATATAGTTATTATGAATTCAATGATTTTATTGATGACAGGTGGTACGCCAGGACTACATACGGTATTCAAGTCAGAGTCGTTCTTCTTCTAGACTAGTTGCCATCCACAACTAGAGAGCCCAGTCTGCCTATAGGATTGATAGAAAAGAAAATGTTAGCTTATGTTCATCGATAAGGAATACTGACTAAGTTTGTTTGTTTTTTTTTAGGAAAGGAGGGACAACTGCTTAATTTAAATGCCATTCTCGTAAGACAATAAAATCGTGTTTCTGAGTACCAGCTCTTTAATGATACTTGTCTCTCGAATTCTATGGCCTTGTTCCAAACACGATTTTGCATACGAATTGCTACGATGTGCGTGTAACTTTTTTGTGTTTCGTAATTTGGAAGGTTTTATAGTGACGAGGCTAGTATAATTCGTACTGATTACTTTTAATAAAACATTGTCTGGCAAAAGGCAGTCTTTTTTTTTGTTCCCTTAATACGCCCCAATAAACTCGGTCTACTAGCGATTATACAACAAAATAATTCTTTTGTTTTAGGAGCAACGCAGAAGCAGTTGCATTCATAACAGTAAACATTTATATCTTTTGACCATCTCCGTGAACAACGGTAAGAATGGGTAAATCGTAAGTAGTTTTTATGATTATAGAGAAAGAAAAGAAAAAAAATAGTCATAGTTAAGATAGTGATAGCCATACAGTCGATATTTTGAAAACTCCGCCATCTGTCATGTGTGTTTGTGTGAGTGTGTGACTACGTCAGCTAGTGTCCATGCGAAAAAAAAAATGGACGAGAAAGCAAGTCTCAAAAAACATTCTCTGTCGATAAAAGATCTAAATGAACTGATTAAAAAATAAGGATTTGAAGGTTTTCTTTTTTTTTTTTTTATTCAAATGGCCTCAAGTGAACGTGAAGTCTTTTCGCCAGAACGCCTCAGATAACGGATAGCGAACATGGCGGCGTGAGCGTTACTCAGTGCATCTTTCTTTAGATGCCACAGCGACTATTCATTGCGTTTCAAAGGGAGATAATTGGAGCTATTCTATCTAGCAGCGGGGTCAGCCGGTGCATGGGGAGTAAACGATATTTTATCACGATAGATGTGCTCGCAGGTCATGACGCACGCACACATCATATATATATATATATATATATATATATATATATATATATATATATATATGCCCTTCAAGTGTTTACATTAATATTATATGCGTAAACAATATATACATTACAACAAGGAATCCAATCCATATCTTCATATATGAATGCATTTTACCCTCATATTAAAATCGTACATATATATATATATATATATATATATATATATATATA